GAAAAAAAGGAAAAAACCCTTTTACAAAAAAATAAAAAAAAAAAAAAAAAAAAAAAAAAAAAAAAAAAAAAAAAGGTAAAAAGGCAACTGGACTTGCTTGTGATTAGCTAACTAATGTGCCTAACAACTGCCCTACAAAGCTAACGCTCAAGTGTGAATGGGAGCCAACATTGTACATAGGGGCTGGACAAATCCCAGGAGCCAGGTCGTCAATGCTTCTCAAAAAATATCACTGGCATCCAACATTTGAGGCTTCTTCTAGTTGTTCATGGATTGGGCAGACTGGCTACTGGATTCCATATTAATTTGTCTATTCCTCTTAAGGCCTCATTCACACTGCCGCACGTATATGCGCGTATTGTACCATATGCAAATAAATGGCTCCATACACATAACTGCGTATGGAGCTGCATATTTGCGTAGCGTAAAAAAAGAATGGAACCGAGATGCGTCTGGGCGGCGTATTTTACGCGCATACACGCGTGTACAGTTCACTAACATTTCTATTACGAATGATGCATTCTGGGATTGCATATAGTGCACGCATATACACACGCAATATACAATTTTGCTCTTGCGTTGTGTGTGAATGAGGCTTATAGAGAATGCAGGAGGAGGACTAATACTTTATGGTGCTAGAGAGGGGAAATTACTACTTCATTCCCCAAGAGATTTAGGAATCACCTGTAGAAGAAATATCAGTTCCTGATGCAGTGACGTAACAATACTGAATACTCTATAGTGATATCCTGTGGGTATAATGCACGCTGAGGACCAGGGCCAGGTTAACTTCTCAGGAGCCTGTAGGCAAAGAAATCTGAAGCACCCCCCTCCTTTCCCGAGGTCTCACAGCCTCAGTCAGGCTGGGAGGACTGTAAAAAAGAAAAAAATATATATAATACAGACAAGTGGGCCCATCTGTGGAGGGTGTCTGTAGGCAGATGCCTACGTTGCCTAGTGGGAAATCCAGCCCTGCTGAGGACTTATTACAAATGTTAAAAAGACAGCTGGCTAATACTGCACTGTAATAGAATGTTATTAAGAGACTGAACACTGCTCTGAAATGCTGTTAGACTAATCCAAAAAGTAACTTATACTGTCAAACTAAAGTAAGCCAAAATATTTAAGGTTGATTTCCTTCCAATGATTTACCCAAGCTACACTCACAAAACGTTCTCAGTGATCTACAGTGCAAAGTCTGAAAACCAGCTCCATAGTCATTTTTATTCCTTAACTGTCAGCCTTTGACTGGCTTGCTGCTTCTCCATACTTTCCACTTTGTGATCTAAAAATATCAATTAGACTACATTCACTCCTCAGCACATGGATCCAGTGTGTTTTAGTTTGATGCGTTTTTTACATCCCCATGTAAAGTTTGGGTATGCCATGCACATAGAGCATACTGATTCATACTGAGCAGGAGTCTTCTGAGGCCATTTTGCACATTTTTAAAGCGTTTTCAGGCTTGAAAGTTTTTGTGATAGTCAATGAAAAGCTAGTTACTACAGGGAGACAGTCTATATGCGTGGAAAAAAAAGTTACCCATACTCTCTTCAAGATCAAAGTGACACAATACTCAGGTGTAAATGGGCTGCATTAAAACTAATGAAATTCTTCATGTTGAGTGCCGTCACGTTTCAGGAAATGCGTGACAAAACACTCAGGTGTGGATGGGTGCTCAGATCTGCTTTTACTTGAACAGTACACCGGGCAGTACTGAATTTCTGATGGGACAACAGATATTTTATTGCACTTAATAGACAAACAGTTAGGTTTTACACACATTTTAGATATAGGTTACACATTCTCTTAAGAGGACCTTTACCCTCTTTCACTAAAAATTACAATAGCATGGAGTTCTGCATGTTGATATTAAATCATTTTTCATTCATTAGCCAAATAAACATTTTTCTTTTACTTACAATTATTATTTTCCACATCCTGGTCTTCTTGGGCATTAGTGATGTAGCCAATGCCTAGGAGATACATCCTGGGAACTTTTACATCACCAGTGCCTTCCTGTGAAATCTCATCTGTAGCCTGTTAAACCTTAGGAGATCTCAGGGAAATATATTTTCCTCCCCTGAGATGATGTGCATGGTCACATGTCCTAAGCACATGTGACAGAGTTCCAGGAAGTAAAGGGGGAGGGATTAACCTGCCCTTAGTTTAAAAAAATGGCCACCATCGGAAGAATGGGGAGGGGGGGAAAAAAAAGGTATGCAAAGAATAAAAAGCCAGCAGTTATCTAGAAGTATGTGTTTGTAGATTGTCATTACTAAACAGTTCTAAAGGTGTGTTTGTTGTCATTTAAACACATGAGCAAGATTCTCTTTAACGCTTCTTTCTGCCGGTTAGCCCTACATATAATAAATTGAGAAACGCACCTTATGTGTCACTATATTAGACACACTGCTACCATAATCCTATATTGCTCTGGGCAATATAAAAAGCAAACAGGGTGGAGATAAAGTGTAATGTAGACTTGGAAATGTAAGCTTCTAAACAGGACACAACTAGTATGGAACAAGTGGTTTTATAACTGCTTCATAAAAAGACTGATGTCAGTGCACAGTAATAATAAACATTTTATATCTGTACCAAGTCTTTCACCTACTGAAGAGAAGACAATTCTAAGCAGATAAATCATAAAAAATGACAACTCACACAAAGTTTTGTTACCCATTTTACAGTTATATGCACAGACAAGTGGAAAGAAGTTCTTTTGTATGAAAGTTCTTTTGAATATCTAAGCAGTGTATGGCACGCTTAAGGGTGGGTTAAAACTCGTCAGCTTTACTTTTTTTCCCCTCTGTGTACCATTGGGGAGATTTCCCTTCACTTCCTGTCTGATAGCCACAACAGGAATAAGGAGAAATGCCTTCAAAGGAGAGGGATTTCCCTGGTGGTCAGTAGGGTCACCAGAACCTGCGTCCAATCGTGTTCTGGTGACAGCCCAAAATTTGGGATTTTCATTTACTTTCAGTGATAATGGTCACTGGGACAAATAGAGAGGGTGAATCTCCCTAACAGGGACAACAGGGGTTTTTATCCCTCTCCACTATCCAAAACTAAGAAAAGTAGTTTGGGTATTAGTTGTACTTTAAGGGCCCATTCATACCTACGCACATACGGATGAGCATTTTTCCTTTTTTTTCTGCATCAATGCAGTTTGCCCATTCATTTTCAGTGGGCACTCACACCTCGCGGCAACGCATGTATTCACTGAGGCTCTGGTGAATGTGTATGGTCCATGCATTGGGGGGCCATTGAAAATGAATGGCAATGCACCGCAAAGGGCATACATACATGACTTGCTGTACTTCATGTTATTGCACACGATAACCGGCATTAACAAAATAAAAATGTAAATGCGTCAGATGATTAAAGGGAAGATTTTTCAAATAATCTGAAAACACACCTGAGCAGGAATAATGTAATCAGCAACATCCCAAATCCTCAGTCCTTGCTGGGACGCGTTTGTCACTGCAACGCCTTTAACTTTGGAGTTCACAGAGCTGACCACTGTGTCGAATTCCTGGTAGCCTTTCTCCCAGACAAAAACCCACCTGTCACAAGACAATCAACAGAGCTTTCATTGCCACGGAGTGATCAGACATCAAAATCAGATCAGATTTAAAGTACAACCAAAAGTGAAATTAAAGCCAAATGGTTTGTAAGCTTTTTCAAATGCTGATAAAATCACTTACAATGGATGTTGCTTCTTGATGTTTAAAAGCAGTTCATGTTTCCTGCAGAATCAGCTAGTCCCCTGAACACTGGTCCCGATATCCTGCTTTAGGGTGGCTCATTTCCTTTGAAGAGTTCTATGGAGCCACCCTTGTGTGTCTTATCAATCTGTGCGTGTCTCCACAAACACTGAACAAAAGCAAGTCTCTCCTTGCACCCCCTGTCCCCCTCTTCCCTTTTTAAAGAAAATGGACAGTTGCTGGAGACTGTGCTTTCCCTAATGATCTTGTACGGTACAGGAAGTTCAGAGAAGCCGAGCTGAGAGAGTTGAAGCCAGCTGTATGGAAACATGATACCTATAAATGTTTGTGTTTTGGATAGCATAGGGAAGAGTTAACCCCCTGTAAAGTTGTTACAGTACTACAAACCAGACCCAAAAAGGTGGGCACTCCTCCTCAGCACGAGCGCGGTAGCATTACAACTACCCCTGCTGTACAGTAATAGCCTCCGTTTGTAAGTAGGAGTCGGATGTAAGTAACTCGGGGACTGCCTGTGCCTGGCGCTCAGCAAGATAAAACAGAACTAGTGTCCCCATTGGAAGATTTCCTGTCTATTCCTATTCTGGTGACGACACAAAATGTGGGATTTTCTTTCAATATCAGTGATAATGGTCACCAAGACAAATAGAAAAGGGTGAATCTCCCCAATGGGGACACAAACAGCAATAAAAACCTGATGTGTGTTCTAATCACTCTCCAGTCTATCCAAAACTAGAAAACATTTTGGTTTCCCTTGCACTTTGATACCATGTAAAAGAACAATATTGTTCAGCAATCCACAACAGCATTTAGCAATCCGATTACAAAACAATCGCTGACAACCTTCCCTGTGTTCCATTCCACCATTGCTCTTCACATATTGATCCTTCTATAACAGTGTGTTTTGATTGCATTTTGTTATAGTAATGCACTGAGAAGTGATGGTTTATAGGCACGCTTGTCAGAAACTCAATCAAAAGAAGATAAAAGAGATCTCTCTACACAAAGGAAAATGATTGAGCCCTTGTTATTTATGTTTCACCTAAAACTAACACCAAGAATGTGATAAGAAGTTATTACCACCAGCTCCTCATAAGGTCCTATGTTGCTAAATGACCTCTAATGTTTTCACACAACTTTCCACAAGGATCCCCACATCTCTCCAATAGAATCCAATTAGACAAAGTGGGCGAAAGCTGTGGGGATCTTGTGAAAAAAAAACACCTACAGGGTTATTCAGAGAAGGGTGAAGAGTTTGGAGAAGGCAGGAGAAGTGAACAATCTAGGACAACATAGCTGATTTGGCAAAATTCTCCAATTCAGCTCACTTTCCAGTTCAGCGATGTTGTCCTAGATTGGTCACTTCTCCAAACTCTTCACCATTTTGTGAATAGGCCTGTATGTCTGCATTCACACCTGAGCCGAGCATTTTTTCAGGCAATTTAGAAGCATTTTTTTTGCATAGTTTCTGGCTTGAGCGGCTTTGTTTTAGCCAATGGAAAGCAGGTACTAGGAGGAAGAGATGGTTGTTAGGTGCACACACGATTTTCAGCCTCTGTTAGATTTATGGTACCACAAATGTGCAATTCTGCCCAAGAGAAAAACTCATGTACTTTTTCGAGCCTCAAGCTACAGGTGACAACACTGAAAATAATGGCATTTCTTCATATTCAGTGTTGTCACGCTTCAGGAAACATGCAGCGAGATGCTCAGGTGTGGATGAGGGCTGAAAGTGCGTGATACAGTAGAAAGGTATAGCAGCTACAAATACTTTTTAAACAGTTGTAAAAAATGTTAAAGAACTTCAGGTTTTAGAAAAATGAACTCTTGTAGTAGGGCTACACTGCACTGCAAGGGTCAACTAGCTGTTTTTCTCTAGGGGTGGGGAAAAAAAAAAAAGTAATACTCACCCAAGCCTCGGTCCCGCCGCACTGCTAGCCTGGTCCCTGCAGCTTCTTCTCCCCCCTGGGATTCGGTGGTCTACGGACCTGTGACATCATCATGTCTTAGACGTGAAGACACTGAGGGACATAACACAGCCAGGAGAGAGGCGAGTTCTCAACTGTCATAGGGCCGAGGATCAGGCAAGTAAAAAAACAAGCAGTTAACCCTTGCAGTCCTGGGAGTAGCCTCATTGCAAGCATTCATTTTCTACAACCTGCAGTTCTTTAAAATCAAAGGAAACCTCTACACAGAGGAATATTGCTGCTGCCTAATCTTTCCAAAAAAGAGGTACTGACCTTTCTTCTTTTTATTTTTAAAGCGCTATTTACATGGCCATCATACCGATCCTATGGCTTCAGTACTTTACTCAGATTGCAGATCAGGAGCTCAGGCTTCATCCTGACTTTCTATTCAGCATGCTTGTTCCAGGTCAATGACAAAGTACTGACACTGGAGACAGCCAGGCAACTAGCATTTCAGAAGGATGTCAGCAATGGCAGTTTCCATATTACTCTCAATAGAGGTTCACTTTAAAATGAAGGATATCAGACATTCAGATCTTAGCAGGTTCAGACATTCAGATCTTAGCAGGTTCAGACATTAAAATGCTACAAATGAGGAGAAGGATACCAGACATTGAGATCTTTGAGGTGTGTGTACACACTTGAACAAAAGTCAGAAAGGAAAGTGAAACAATGCAAGTTCACAGCAAGAAACTAGATGAGAGTCATCAGAGGAAAAGGAAATGATTGTGTAATAAAACAATAGTGTGCTGATCACAAATCCAGCTCCAGGAACATGTAAGCTGGATCGGCCTCTATCAGGCACAGCCATATGGAAGGCGGAGAGGACACGTGACCCGTCCCAGGTAAAGGTGGCATCAGCCAGCAGAGCGGAGAAGCGCAAGTCATACCCAATGACATAAGCCAGGATGAGCAGCTGGACGAGTCTGTTCAGCAGCCCGATCTTCCTGCTCTTAATGAGCGCTATACGAGGCGTGCTATAGTCAAAGACACAGCTGTATATTTCCAGGCAGCAGCCGCCACCGCCACCAGACATGGCTGGAGAAGAGGCAGGAACACCGGACTCCCAGGACTTCTGAACACAGTCATATGATCATTCCAAGGATGAGTCCCACTTCCAGCGGGGTGGAGCTGGGCGCAGCCGACACACGCCACCTAGTGTTCACTGTCGGAACAACCTCCAAACACCAGACCGCTGTTCTTCATAGAGGATCTTCGGAAAACATGGACGTATATTCAAATGTCAAATAAAAATAAATGTAACGTAAAAATAATAAATGCACATGTATTTTTTTTTGCACGGAAGCCAGTAAAACATTGCAATATTCAGAAGAGACCACCCTCAAATACAGAGAAGGGTATTTATAAATACCCCCAAAGTGTCCCTGGATGTGTGCCCGTTTTTCAAAATGCAGTCCCCAACCTGGCTCCCACATGACTGTAAGTACCCGTTCACACTGAGCGGTTTATCACGCGAATTTCCGCTCCTAAATCGCATATTTCCGCGCGATATCGCTCTATGTAGTTAGTCCAATGCATTTCAATGGAGCTGTTCACATCTTACAGCTCAATGTCGCCTCTAGCTCGTCGCTGTAGCTTGTCGCTTGTACTTGACCCTTTTTTGCACGGATGTCGCGCGATTTTGCTCTTGTTTGCTTACAGCCCAATACGAAAAGTCGTGTGAAGTAGCGCGACAAGTCGCGCAATATCGGGCATATGACAATTGCGCGGAAAACACGCGATTATCCATGTCGCTCAGTGTAAATGGGGACTAAGGCTGCACAGGGGCAACTCCAGGCATGCTGTTACACTTTGCGGCCACCAGGTGTCAACGGTGGGACATCATCACGCACTAGGGTTGCCACCTTTTCTTCAAGCGAAACCCAAACACTGTAGCGACGAGCGGACATTTTTTTGGGAGAATGAGTCGTGGCGTATTAATATGTAAATAGCGCCATCCATTCCTATGTAAATATCACAGTTGAGACTATTTTTAGTGGGGGGCCAGTAGCTCCTATCTTGTTTTGGTTGCCCTTGTCTCCCTGACATCTTGTGTTCGGGTTTCTGCTGCCATGAAACCCGGACACAGCATTCAAAACCCAGACTGTGTGGGTGAATCCTGGACAGGTGGCAACCCTATCACGCACACGCGTGACGTCATTGTGCACGCACCTGAAGTCATCATGCACATTTAACTGACAGCAGAGGCACCCCAGGCCGGGTGTCCCCCGCGGGGATGTCATCACACAGGTGTGTAGTGATGTCAGGCGCACTTAGCTGCCGGCAGTCATTTTGGTGAAGGATGCCAGCAGAGAGAGGAGGGGATGTTCATCCTCTGTTCATGCAGCTGTCGGGCTCTCGGTCCATGAGGAGGTGACACCAAAATCACTGTCAGTCAGGGAGAAGAAATTCAGTGCAGCTAATCCTTCCTCGTAGCTGAGTTCCCCCAGGCCTCTTATCATTTAGTTGGCTTTCTCTGTTTTGTCACGCTTAGCTTTGAGCATCAAAACTCCCAGGTGTGAACGGGAACTAACTCCGAAGGAAACAGATGGATCTGGCACTCAGCAATCCAGCATGTCCGGGAATTAGGATGTGTGTGGCCAGTCAGCACATTATCATGCGTTTTCATAGTGACACATGGCATGTATGCCACGGTAGTCCTCCTTGGACTGACACCAGTATCACAGCAGCCATTTTTGCCTCCCATTGACACTGATGTAGCACCATTTTTTCCTCCTACTAATACCAAGCAGGGGCATTTTTTTCTTCCCACACTGATACAGATGCAGCACCATTTTTTCCACCACTATGCATTTTTTAAATATAACGCCTGAGTTTAGTGTCACTTCAAAATCACATTAGAGAAGAAATATCTGCACGCTTAAATATTTAAAGGAATTTTCCATTTTTATTGTTACCCTTTATGTGATGTTAAAATCGCTGCTCCTTTAAAAACTGTATTTTTTGCGATCGACTGGTAGATCGCGATCGACCTTGTGGGCACCCCTGCTATACACCTTTTATGGCCATTGACTTGCATATTGACTACCGTAGTCGTTGACGGCCACAATTCGCAGACCCAGATTTATAAACAGCTACATGACTTGAGGCAATGACTTGTTTATGAATCGGTCGTTTATTAGATCCGAACTGGCTTCATGTGTGGTCAGTATTGGTTTTGATGCATGATTGGGTTCCATTAAAGTGACATTAAAGACTAAAGCCCCCCCACCCCCCCCCAACAATGCTGCTGTAAGGACTTAGCTTAAATGATGCCTCTTGATCTGATCATCTTCTTCTTTCCAGTAGTTCTCAGGAGTCCCTCCGGTCTCTGATCCAGTGCTGACTGATGTGTCTTCTGTGTCCCTTCCTGTCCCACAGAGTCTGTGCGGGTGCAGGCTGCTGCATTAACTTACCCTGTGTCTCTTCTCTTATCCTGGCCGAAGATCTGCTATTGCACATGCGCCCGCCCCATGATCCTTTGCGGCTGCCCGAGAATATTCAGATTTTCGGACGGCAGCACGCATTGGAGACACAGGTAAGTTTAAACCCTTTTCTTAGCTTTTTTTTTTAAATGTTTTTGCATATATCTACTGCTTGCTAGCAGTAGATATATGCAAAAAAAGAGGAGGGTTTAATTATACTTTAAAGACTTAGCATCCTTAACGACCCCTAACTAATTTTTTTCTTTACAGTATAGTGCTCCCCCCGTTCTTGAAGTAGCAAATACAAGTTTGGTTTTTTTATCATGGAATACAAACTGCACTTTTGCCTTTCTCGTCTGGACAGGAATGATGTCCCCAGTTACCTGCAATATGTCATATATCCCAGAAGGCTTTGGGGCAATCTAGACAGGGCCAGCGATAGCGTAAGGCTGCATAGGCAGCCACCTGAGGGTGCTTCAGGGAAATGCCCCTTTGCCTGTGTAGGCTTGCATTTTGATGCTGGCCCTGCACTTGAAGTACCTAGGGTTGTGTCAGGAAGCAGGGGGTGTTGCCCCTGCTCGGGGCCACGGGCACGGGTTTCCCCTCAGCTTGGCAGAACTCCTGGTGCCCGGGTTGCGGGTACGCATGCGCGAGTCGCACGGCGGGTGCGCATGCGCGGTACGCAGGCTGCGTGCGCATCCCCGGGGGCACGCGTGTAGCACTCCTGCATCATTAGGCATCAGGTGTGAGCCTTGCTGGGGGAGGTTCCCTGTACACACCTTTCATCTCTCTCGCCTGCCATTGGTTCCCGAGAAAGGAAGCGTCCTGGTTGCCTCGGTGACCGGGGGGTGGTCCTAACTCCCCTGGCTATAAAAACCTGGCCTGAGCTCTGGCTTGGTGCTGAGTTATTCCACCTCATGGTGTGACATACGAAGCGCCCCTCCTATGTGCCTTGTTGCCTGTTTCCTGTTTCCTGAACCCTCTGCTGACCTCCCGTGTACCGACCTTGGACCGCCTATCGTTTCTGACCCTCTGCTGCCTGCCTCGACCTCGGATTACCCTCGACTACCTCTTTGGATTGCCCCCTGGTTACCTTGCCTTCTGACCCTTCCGGCTGCTTCCTGCCAGCGGGTTCCCTCTGTGCTGCTCGCCCGCGGACACACCTGATAGGTTGCCATCTGTCTGGGATTAACCCAGACAGACTGGGTTTAGAATGCTGTGTCCAGGTTTCATGGCAGGATGTCAGGCAGACAGGGGCAACCACGGGGGCCCTGTTATTCCTGTTTGTAAACACCTGCATGCCTTACACACCATGGATCTGCTCTCTCTCTCTCTCTCTCTCCCCTTATTGTCCTTCAAACATGTGACAGACCGTTTATACTTTTATACTCTGGCTGTCTCCCCTCGCTCTCCCCTGGCTGTCTCCCCTCGCTCTTCCCCCCTGGCTGTCTCCCCTCACTCTCTCACCTCACTCTCTCCCCTGGCTGTCTCTCCTCACTCTCTCTCGTGGCTGTCTCTCCTCGCTCTCTCTCCCCTGGCTATCTCTCCGCTTGTAGGTAGGTGCAGTATGGCCAATGGCCACTAGATGCCCCCATGGGGCACTAGAGATAGATGTAGCTATGGCCTGGGGAGACTCTGTGTCCCAGGAGAGCTGATTTATAGGGGGCATCCGAGAGGGGAAAGGCAGAACAGTACAGGAGAGCAGAAGTCTAAGACTGTAGGCAGAGTCTCTGGAGAGAGACTGACTCTAAAACATAGGCTTGTCCATGGGAAGGACAGGACCAGGCCTAGGACTATGTAGAGCTATAGAGATTCCCCAGTTTCCCCTGGAGGGGGAAACCACCGAGCTAGGACTGACAAGGATGGGATTCCGGAGAAAAGTTAGGAGCCTATAAGACTGACAATATTTGCCAGTGGGCCTCTGGCCGAAGTAAGTCGTGGACTCTGGGCTGCACCTGGGCTGTTCTTCTCTCTCTCTAATCTGTATCACTATGCAAATATCAAGAGATGTGCCGTCATCCCACTCGGGGGTGGCTGAAACCTATGCTTATTGTCATGTTCATCCTTTTCAAGTAAAACCAAGAAAAGACTATCTGTGTGACCTGGTTCTTCTCCCTCCAACCTCTGAGAAGGTGGGGTTCTACAGGAGTGTGATGTTGGACTGTATCGGGGCTGTAACCATCCTGAGGAGGGTAGGTGTGCAAAGGGGCTATGCCCGACATAGGGTGCCTTTCATGGTGGCCTTTCTCCCTAAGGGGGAGGGAGCGCCGAATACTGCAGAGGCGGTGGAAGCCATGAGGCCCTGTGTGCGCAGTACTACACGTGTGGGAGTTGTTTGCACGAGGCCAGAGCCGAGGCCCCTGACCGTGGGGCGCCTGGTGTCGTGTTGCATACATGGGGTTACACAGAGCCAACCCAAGGGGAACTCACACGCAACACCCAGAGAGTGAACCCCGCCTACACGCTCTCTCTCCCCTGGCTGTCTCTTAGCTCTCTCTCCCCTGGCTGTCTCTCCTCTCTCTCTGCCCTGGCTGTCTATCCTCCTTGCTCTCTCCCCTGGCTGTCTCTTCTGGCTCTCTCCCATGGCGGTCTCTCCTCCTCGCTCTCTCCCCAGGCTGTCTCTCCTCACTCTCTCTCCTGGATGTCTCTC